GTGTGTGTGTGTGTGTGTGTGTGTGCGTGTGTGTGTGTGTGTGTGCGTGTGTTTGTGTGTGTTTAGACATATGTGTTCCGTTTGCTGCGCTGGTTTGTTGACAAGTCATATCCTTTGAACAATGTTCCCGTATCATTCTAGATATGTTCGTGTATTGGTATTGAGATCACTTCCCCATCTCATTTATAATCTGAACTCGTTTTAAAGTCGTTGACTATATGTGCTAACGGTTTTACTCGTCCCAATACAACATGCTTTGGCTCCAGACACTGACTACCGAATTACCGTCTGTTTTGTCTACTACCATTACTGACGCATGCGTCCAAAAGTAGTACGAATCCTTTTGACTCTAACGCTACTTAATCTTTTATACGTATAGAAATTCTATGAATGTCTTTCATACGTATATATATATTAATTTTATACGTATATATATTCCATGAATGCCTTTTATACGTATATATATATTCTTTGAATGCCTTTTATACGTATATGTATTCTATGAATGCCTTTTATACGTATATGTATTCTATGAATGCTTTTTATACGTATATATATACCATGAAACCTCTAGCGCTAATTAATCTTTTATATGTATATATATTCTATAAATACCTTTTATACGTACATATATATATTCCATGACTGCTGTACGCTCTCTGTGCAATTGTCATGCCATTATGCCTAGCATAAACTACATGCACTGCTCACCTCTTCTATTACCAATCGCCTTCGCTGGACAGCTCCTGTTCGTTCCACACAGTGATTATATTCATTTATTTGCACTGTTTGTTTGCTATGTTGACTGTTAGCCTTGGTATTTATCACCAATACCCCCGTGTGCTAGATTAGACCGGGACTTAAGTGGGGGAAGTTGAATGTGAGGATAAGTATACCTATATATTACTCTAAGATACCCTGCACAGGTAGTACCGGATCGGTACATCCTGTTTCAGTATATTTATATACTAACCTAAGATGCCCCTCTAGACGTAGTACTGGATCGGTACATGCTGTTTCAGTATATTCATGTACTAATCTAAGATACCCCTCTAAACGTAGTACTGGATCGGTACATACCGTTCCGCACTGTCTATTCGAACATTTGTATTGCTTGTAAGCCTAACCAGTTAACCACTCACTGACCTTATCCTTTTTCGTCAATAGCTGCGAGAGAGCGACTTCTACATACCATACTTCCCGCTCCTCCTCAAAGACTACGAGAAATGCGATCAGCAACCAGCAGGTGCGACGGTACTGAGTGAAGTGATGAGTGCTTACAGATTCGCCTTGTTTGTTTCTCTGCCTCTTTTCATGACTGGTTTATAGTGACTACTGTTACCACATCTGTAGCACAACTTTGTTAAGAATAGGTCATAGATACGCGCCGGTCGATCGTACATGTTTGACTTTCATAATATCGCCACTGCTACCACATCTGTAGCATCACTTTGTTAAGAATAGGTCATAGATACGTGCCGGTCGATCGTAAATGTTTGACTTTCATAATAACGCCTACTGCTACCACATCTGTAGCATCACTTTGTAAAGAATAGGTCATAGAAACGCGCCGGTCGATCGTACATGTTTGACTTCCATAATAACGCCTACTGTTACCACATCTGTAGCTTCACTTTGATTCGGTTAGTGTGTTTTTCAAGACATGGTTGCTACGTCGCCCACCTATTATGTCTGACTTTGCATAGTGTTGCTGTCACGATTAGTTCCGCTCGCATAGCTTTGTGTCGTTTTAGGCATCTCATTAGATTGCGTGACACATGCATACAGCGCGTACCAGTTTATACCGATGAGAGTGTAAATATACCAAGTTTGTCCTGTTTCTTCTGCCAAGTAACCTACATACCATTCTGTTCTCTCAGGAGATAGAAGGATAAGTCGACAGCAGTTAGCTGCCTTGGCCGGAGTACTAGAGCCCATCACCCGTCTACAGGTAGGTCTACGACTGTGCCCATGTCATGCACCGGTGGTGGAGGCTTTGCTTATCTCCACCTTCGTTATTACACCCTACAGTATACACGTAGCCTTGTCGCATGGGTAGGGGCCATCAAATGTTCAATACCATTGGCACTGGTCGTACCCACTGCCCGGCATGCACACTGGACACAACCGCGTTGTGAGGCATCCCGCTTCAGGCAGCCACTTCTATTACACACTACTTTCCGTCCAACGTTTTATATAACCCCTATAAGCCACACGCGTATCCTCCGTTCTTTCTGAACCCCCAAAGCCCCTATAACCCCTACAATCGTATATCCCTATATCCCTATAACCCCATAGCCCTATACCCCCATAACCCCATAACCCTATACCCCCATAACCCTATACCCCCATAACCCTATATTTCGCACTCGTATACTCCCTAGTGCTTATGCGCCGTGTGCAACTGCTCTCTTCTCTGCGCAGACCAAACGACCGCACTGTCCACGCATTGAGAATTTATATTCACTGCTGGCCATAGCCTTGGAGCCACGAATGTCCTGGGACGAGCTCAACAAACAGTCCATCGCCTCAGAACTAGGGCCCAAACTCTCGACGGGAATGCCACCCAGTAAGTAGACCTCTTGCGCTTATCTGCACTATAGGTGTGCGAATGCGCACTTCGTTTGTATCGGTGTTCGCGTAGTCTGGTACCGCTACCTCTGGTACTGCAACTGTCTATGTTTCTAAGCCTGTGAGTGAAGAA